CAAATTGCTCATCTTATGAGTCAGGCAGCAAAAAAGAGGGAAGAGACCAAGTCCCCACAATCCCTATGAAAGGCATGCCCCCAGTGACATAAGCAGGCATAAATATTTTTGTAGGAGTTCTAGCCAGATTCAGAATTTTTCCTGCCTCCTGAAAAGTTGCAAAGTAATTAGGATAAAATTTGTGGACAGTCAACTGGGTACCTCCTTGTCAGTGGTGACCTCACGTTGCTATCTCCTTACTGCGTAGACTGCAGAATATAGTGCTCCTCTCTTTTGGAGAACTCAGAAATGATTATTGCTCAGAAGTTTTTAAAAGCCCATCACCATCCTTAATTATATTTAAAGTGAATGTTTTTGCTGATATTTTTGTTGGGAGTTACAGGATATTCAGAATGAAGGCTCTATGTATTTTCAAAGTTGATTGAGGTTGAGCTAGAATTTATTCAAATATTGTTTGTAGCATTAAATATTTGGAATTGGGAAACTAAAATTATGATCTTTGCATTTGAATTATAAAAATTAATAATTAGAATTAAATTATTGTACAGTAGATTTTCTGCTCTAAAGAATATGATGTGATGTATATGACAGCGTCATTTGACTTCATATCCTTAAAAGTTTAGCACTAGGTTTCTAATTTGCTCTGCTTTTACTTGCAATACTGTCCTGGTTTGTATTTTATAATCCTTAAAAAAATTGACATTAAAAAAAAAGAAATGATGTGATTATAGGCAAATTTAAAATTAGAATTAACAGCAAAGAGAGAAAAGGTCAAGGAATGACTGTAGTCCTTAACATGATACTTGACTGAAGACTTTATGTCCTTTGTCATTTAATGTTTGATTTTTCAGACTGGTCTTCCTTGTGTGTGGGTTTATAAACACAACATTTTAAGGTACTTTTTATGGTATAGGTACTAGTCAGCATGGTCTTGGGTTTTTTTTTTGTGTGTGTGTGTATCTTTATTAATTAGAATTCACGTCCTTGTTACAACTATGCTATTTAGCTGCAGACACATAGCTATATCGTCAAGTGCTTTTACAAATTCATATATTTGTTGAGCCCTGGTTGTGCATGAGGGCTTTTATTCACAGAATATGGCTAAAATTTGAAAATAAAGAACAATTAAATTCTGTGAAATCTGTTTTTTTTGTTGTTGTTTATTTTGGTACTGGGAATTGAACCTAGGAGCGCTTAACCACTGAACCACATCCTCAGACTTATTTTTTGTGGTGCTGGGGATTGAACCCAGGGCCTTGTGTATGCTACCAACTGAGCTATATCCCTAGCCCACTTTTTTTTTGAGACAGGGTCTTGCAAAGTTGCTTAGGGCCTCAGCAGAAGTTGATATAAAACATATAGCAAATAAGTTAGTAAAAAACAAATATTCATGTAACCACCACCCACATCTAGGGAAAAAAAAAAGCCACTAATAGTACCGCAGAAATTGCTGAGGCCCTAAGTTGCGATCCTCCTGCCTCAGCCTTTTGTGTCACTGGGATTACTGGCATGTGCCACTATGCCTGGCAAAATTTTATAAAATCTGAAAACTAAATCAGTCCTTTGCCTTTCAGAAATTCAGAGAACAAACTTGTACAATCAGTTTTGTGTGTAGTCTTGCAGGTGGCAATCTGATTCTTAAAGGATTGTTTCATTTTACTGTAGATTTTGGGGAGGGGTCCTTATTGACACTCAAATAATTTTTCCTTTTTTTTTTTTTTTTAAATGAAGTGGCCCTTATTAAAAGGGAGCTGTTTATTTGGTTGTCCCAGCATACTCTTCAGGGCTAATGAATTGTTACTCTTCTGCCAATAATCTAGCTCTCTCATTACTGCTTTTTTTTTTTTTTTGAGAGAGAGGGAGAGAGAGAATCTTAATATTTATTTTTTAATTTTTGGCAGACACAACATCTTTGTTTGTATGTGGTGCTGAGGATCGAACCTGGGCTGCACGCCTGTCAGGCGAGCGCGCTACCGCTTGAGCCACATCCCCAGCCCTCATTACTGCTTTTATATATACTTGTCTTTTTTCAGTAACAAAAGGGGTAGGAAGCGAAAAGATGAAATACCCTGCATGTGAATTCTATTTAAAGTCATCAGAACTTCTGTAGTTCATTTGAATAACTGAAGACCGGATATAGATCTAGGCCAGTGTTCAAACTTACTGTGTGGATAAAATCATCATTGGTACTTGTTAAATATGTAGGTTTTGGGGCCGTACCTTTAAAGTGTGAGGGGAAGACACTGGTGTCTACGTTATTTTTCTTTCCCCTTTTAAGTTGGAAAATAAATCCTACATATAAAAATTGCTGTAAAACATATAGCAAATAAGTTAGCAAAAAAGCAAATATTCATGTAACCACCACCCACATTTAGAATAGTAGCACAGTAGCTCAAAATTCTGACCTTCCTTCCTTCCCAGTTAGGTGAGGAAGTCATTTTCATCCTAAGTCATTCTGTTATACATCACAATTGCCCATTTTACCATTAGTGAGCAATTGGATTTTTTCACTTTTTAATTATTGACTAATATCATAATACAATTTTGTATAATGTGTTTTTACTTTGACCATTATGAATGATATTGCTGTGATATTTTGTATATATCTTTTGGTATCTGTGTAAAGATAAATACCAGTGTTTGGTTTCAGTTATATTGCTAGATTATTTTTCAAAGTGCTCATTTCAGTACTAGCAGTGTAAGAATTTCCATTGCTCCATGTCTTTGCAACACTTTGTTTGAACTAATGTGGTATATATGTAGTAGTATTTCATTGTCATTTTATGAAGGGTGTCTCCCGCATTTTATACATGTATTGATTTATTTCTCCTTTTATGAAATGCCTGTTCAGATTTGTTGCCTAATTTTCTATTGGGTTGTCTGTTTCTTATTGATTTGGATTTTTTTTTTAGAGAGAGAGAATTTTTTAATATTTATTTTTTTCAGTTTTCGGTGGACACAACATCTTTATTTTATTTTTATGTGGTGCTGAGGATCGAACCAAGCACCCCGCGCATGCCAGGCGAGAGCGTTACCGCTTGAGCCACATCCCCAGCCCTGGTTTTTTTAATTATGTATGTCAGACATCTTTTTCCCACTCTCTGCTGTACCATTTCCTTCTCATAGTGTGATTTCTGGTGAATAACTCTCTTATAAACTTTTCTACATTGTCAGGTAATTTTTAAAACTCAAATGAGTATCTCTCTAAATTTAATAGAGACTGCAGATGTTAATGAGGAAAATCAATGATTTAACTTGTATTAATCAAAATAGCAACTCATAACTAAAATTTAAAATATAAGCCTTAGATAATTGCGCAAAATATCAAAAAAATATCCTAGTTGGCATTAAAACTCTTTTATAAAAGCCTCATTTATCTTTTTTATTTTCTACAGAAGTCACTATTTAAACTTTTAGCTTGCTACTAGAAATAGACTGTTGGCTGTACTTTTTTTTATGCACATGTATATGGTTTTTCTCCCCAGCTTTTTCTGATTTCAGAAATGAAGTTCTAAAGGACTTCTTCAAAATACGTTATTAAGCAAAGTATGATGTTATGTGTATCAAACGAAAGATGGCTTAACTATGTTGTCTGTTGAAGCACTTTTGCAGTTTGCTAATGATATACTTTTCCAAGGCAGACCTGGAGATTTTGGGGTGAATGATAAATGTGAATCTCAGTGAATCATGGGAATATTAGCTTGATGATTGACTGTTCTTTTATAATGGTTAATAGATTGTATTATTATTATTATTATTATTTAGAGGATCTTCGCAGAACCAATTTAAACTTGCATAAAACAATGACAAGGTAGCTCTAGATTTGGTATATAGGTCAATAGGGTGTGTGGTGCAAGGATCAATCCTCGAAATGACTAAGTGGTGGCTCAGATGTCCGATGTGCTTAGATATACAGTGTCATTTAAATATACCTTACCTCACATGATTAAAAAAAAAAAAGCCACCTGTATTTATGAACTGCTAATGTAACTCCTATTTCCTTGAATCCAATACAACTGATTTTTCCTTCAGCCTTGGAATAGATCAGTGTTTCTTTGAGTGAGTACCAGATGAAGTAGTTGCATATCCTATCCTCCTCCCACTAAATATTAAAGGTCTTTTGTGTGAAAAATAGTTTTTTAAAAAATATTTTTTTAATTGTAGGTGGACACAATACCTTTATTTTGTTAATTTATGTGGTGCTGAGGATCGAACCTAGTGCCTCACATGTATGAGGCAAGCACTTTACCACTGAGCCACAACTTCAGCCCCTGAAAAATAGTTTCTTTAGAAAAATACTCTGCTAGAAATATTTATTCATGCTGTGCTGTTTTCTACTTTTGTTGTTTTTAATCACTGATTTAGTTTTTGAGGGCAAAACAGCATTTTTGTTAATAGCAGGTATTTTGGGGCCCCCAATCTGGTACTGTGTGCATTTGGGCCAGGTAATTAACATCTTTGAGCTTCAGTTTTATGGAAAGGGAGAAATAATTATAACTTCTAGCTATTGAGAGCTATTAAATGAGATAAACGCATGTCAAGCTCTGGCTCATATTAAATATGCAATAAATACTTTAAAATTTTTTGTCTTATTAGTGATATGTTATCTCAAATTTCTTTTTTTTTTTTTTTTCTTTTTTCTTGTTTTTGGTGGTACTGGGGACTAAATCCAAGGCCTCACACTTACAGGTGCTAGGCAAGTGCTTTACTATTGAGTCACAAACCCAGCCCTCAGATTTATCTTTAATATTTAAAACATTTACCAACAAGATTCAGAAAATGCTTCCAACCTGATATGTAATTGAAAGCATGAAACTGTGTGTGCATGCTATTCTGGCAATATCAAGGTAATGCAAATGTGACAATTTTTAGCACGTTGTATAGTCATTTAGTAGTGAAAAAAATATAATATTTTTCATGTACATCTAATTAGAACAAATTAAAAAATAAAATTTATAGTATTGAAAATTTCTGTAGCTTATTTCTTTCTTTGATTTCAGTGCCCATATATCTCCCACCAGCATCTTACCAGCCTCTGCAGAGTAAGTAATACAGAAGACAAATTTTTAAGAATTTAAAATATTACTAAGCTGTAGAGATGAGAATCATGTAGTTTATTGTGCTCACTTTAGAAATTACACGTAGGCAGTAAACTAATTACAATTTTATATACTGTAATAGGAACAAATGAAGAAGAAATTCTTACACTGATATTCAAAATAAAAGATGAGCTTTCTTCAGATGATTTTTTGTTCCTTTTGAATAATTGAAAAATGTTGATAGAGCTTTCATTAAGTTTTCTTTAAAAAGTAGAATTTATGTAGAAAATATGAGTAATACCCTACATTTTTTATAGCTGGGTGTTGGTAAATTATTTTGCCTTATCAGCTTAGGTTTGGAAAGTCTATATAAAATGGTTTTCTATATAGTGAGGAATGAATTATTGGGTTATTGTTCCAATAATCTAGTAATAATTGTGACATTATGCTTGATTATATTGCATCATCTTTTTCATTTTAAAATTTAAGTTATTATTGTTTTCTTTTGCGTATTTCTTTTTATACTTTTAGCCATTTAAATGCCATAATAATTTGTTTTATTTGTGATAGGTCTTAATATTTAAGTTTATATGGCCATATACCCAGTTAGGGTGCCTGCTTCTCACTAACATGCATTCTCTTTTTTAGTGTTTTAGAAAGAACAATTAGAGCAGCTGTGGAACAGCACCTTTTTGATCTGCAGAGCAGCATAGATCATGATCTTAAGAATTTACAGCAGCAAAGTCTGATATGTAATAATGAAGCAGGAAGTATTAATTGTATTGAGGAAAGACCTAATAACCAGTAAGGAACATTTTAATGTTTTTTATTGAGAGTTATAAAATTTTTTTTCTTACTACGCTTTTTTTTTTTAATATTTATTTTTTAGTTCTCGGCGGACACAACATCTTTTTTTATGTGGTGCTGAGGATTGAACCTGGGCTGCACACATGCCAGGCGAGCGCGCTACCGCTTGAGCCACATCCCCAGCCCCTTACTACGCTTTTATTTCTTAAATAATGGAGTTTTTGCTTGAGTATTTCTGAAAATCAGTATAATAGTGACTTTGTAAATACTTTTGTGTAAATTATGTATATACTTAGTTAACATTGAAAATCTTATAACTCTTCCATACTAAGTTCATCATAACCAGTGTTTCTTCCTTGAACACTGGGTGAAACAATAAATTTTTTAAAGCTAAGTATATGTTGTATGTAGAATAACTTAAATAAATTGGACTCCTACTCTGTGTAAGAGATGGTCATGCTGTGGTCTATATAGATAGTTACAGGGACAGCAGATTAATATTAGTCTAGTGCATATGGTCATTTTGTAATGGTGGACAGAAACATCCTTTGCTGTTTAAATTGTTATCCTCTGCCACTAGCCTTTCCCCGCCCCACATGATAATAAGTGAATTTGTATAAAAGTACCATTATATATGATATCAAGTCCATTGTTTATCTGACATTTTGCCTATTGTTAACGTTTTAATGAAGGACAGACTTAACCTACTTTTCTGTCACCTCATTCCTATACTTAGGATATATGTGTACTTCGCTCAGAGACCACAATGAAATGATTTCATATTTTTATGTATTGTTTGTATTTTGGAGACAGATGTGTGAGATATACCCAAATTTGGAGTATTGTAGGAAAGTAAAATTTGTTAATTGGGTGGAGTGACTTCTTTGTTTTTGTGGTACTAGAGATTGAACCATGGAGCTACATTCCAAACCCTTTTTCTATTTTCTTAATTGGTTTTATTTTTTAAATACATGATAGCAGAATGCATCACAATTCTTATTACACATATAGAACAATTTTTTCATACCTCTGTTTGTATATAAAGTATGTTCACATCAATTCATGTCTTAATACATGTACTTTGGATAATGATGTCTATCACATTACACCATCCTTGCTAATCCCCTGCCAAACCCTTTTTCATTTAAAAAAATTTTTTTTAGTAGTAGATGGACACAACACTTTTATTTTATTTATTTATTTATATGGTATTGAGGATTGAGCCTAGTGCCTCACACATGCCAGGCAGGCACTATACCATTGAGCCACAACCTTAGCCCCCTCTTTTTTATTATTTTTTTAAAATATTTTTTTTTTTTTTAACTTGTAGTTGGACATAATACCTTTATTTTATTTTTATTTTTTATGTGGTGCTGAGGATTGAACCCAGAGCCCCCTGCCCATGCTAGACGAGTGATCTACTGCTGAGCCACAACCCCAACCCCCCCTTTTTCATTCTTAATTTTGAGATAGACTCTTGCTAAATTGCCCAGACTAGCCTCAAACTTGCAATCCTCCTACCTCAGCCTCCTGAGTAGCCGGACTGCAGGTGTGTGCCACCATATCAGGTAGGGTGACTTGATTTTAAAAGTGCTAACTAGAATAGCTATTGAATATGAAAACCATGGTTGGAATTTTAGGAATACTGTATTGTACAAGTGCATGTGTGCCATGGGACACACTGCAGTTCTGTGTGATGATAGCCCTGATTTGTGTGCTTTGAGGACATAATTAGAACTTATACACTTGGATCTATAAGGAGTACTTGGGCTGAATAGGAAAGGAAAGGTGGTATCTAAAAGCTGGAAATAGGAAATGTTTTAACGGATGTAATAGCAAATCCCTTGGAATTTGTTTTTAGCTTAGCTTGGGATCCTTGAAACTTGCCCTTTACTTAGACAATATTCATATTTTCACTACTGGGGAAATGACTCATGTTTCATCATTGGTGGCAGTATCATCTTTGTAAACCCAAACTGCAATATTTTGCATATTCTAAATTGTATAAGTTAGAAAATCTGCAGTAGAAGCTATTCCTGTTGTACTTGGATAAGGTGTTGAACACTATGGTCTCTAATAGTAAATATATATTAAATCAGGACAAATAGGTCAGTATCATGTAGGAGTGTGTATTGGAAGGGAAATTTTTTTTTCACTCTCTTTCACACACACACACACACACACACACACACACACACACACATATTTAGAAGGCATTTGACTGAAAATTTTCAAAGTCTCTGACAACATCCCAATAAGAGGGAAAAAATACATAAATTAGCAGATTTTATGATTTAAGTTAATAGGACAAAATATGGATTTTTATGCAAAGGACATTACTAATATTTATTTATTTTTTAAAGACAGTTATGCTTATCATTAACCTAATCTGATTTTTTTTTAATCTTCATTAATAGGGTTGAGATTGCCGATGATATTATTAATGCCAGTAGTAGTAACAGAGACTGTTCAGAACCTGTGGCTGGCACTAATTTAGACAATGAAGTTATGCAGCAAGATTTTATATTTGAGGATGAAGAAAATAACCAGGTAAGAAATGTAAAAAAAAAAAAAAAAAAAGTTAGGCATGTTAGATGTATAGCTCTGCTTATATCACATATTCTTTTGATACCAGAAATTATAGTTCAGTGTATTTGCTGACAAACTGATTTGTCATGATTTTAAATCTCCCAGAATATACATTCTTTCAGGAGAGTTTGGGAACCATCATTGAGTAAAGAAGTAGGTACAAAACCTGTATTTTAATGTATTTATTGAAAAGAAATAAAGTATGAGGTATTGTGGTTGAATTTTGTTATTTTTCAAAGTTTTTCTGTAGTTTTCAGTTTTCTTGAGGAACATGGTATACAGAAGAAAAATAATTTTCTCTTTGTAGTAGTTAGGGGAACCCCTATAACAAAAGAAAGATGAATGAGAAAAATGAGTATGTTTAATAACATGTATACCTTATATAAACATGGGAGATGGGGAAACAGTAAATCTCTAAGGGAAAGCTTAAATACCAGCATCCTTAAGATAAAGAAAGAAGGGTATGGGAAAGACCTAGTTACAATGAGATGAATAGGAAAAGCACCCTAAACAAAAGTAAGGTTCAATAAGCAGACTGATAAGAGTTTCTAGTCATTTATTCATCCTTCTCTTCCTGGAACAGAGGAGATAGCCTTACGAATGGATATTTACATTATATAGAAAATTTCTCTTAAAAAAGGGTACTGTATGGTGGGTGTTATAGCTGTATGGTAGTGTGCTGGTCTTGCATGTGTAAGGCCCTGGATTCAAACTTCAGCACTTTTGTGTTTGCAATTTCACAAACTAATCCGCTCAATATAATCGTTACACAAAAGAGGCATATTTTAGGATGGCACAGTCTGACCCCACTTCTGGGATCTTTACACAGAAATTAGAAAAAACCCATGAACATGTTTTTTTTTTTTTTAAATTTAATTTATTTTTGTGTGTTTGTGTGTATGTGTGGTTGCTGGGGATTGAACCCAGGGTCTTTTGCATGCAAGGCAAGCATCATATTTTTAAAATAACTAAAATATTGTCACTGTCACATTTGTTGGTGGTAGCGTTGTTTTGTAAAATTATTAATTGCAATTAATTATTGCAAAAGTAATTATTGTACAAAAGCAGAGGGAGGGGAATGGAGGAAGCATGGGGTTAGAAATGATGGTGGAATGTGGTGGACCTCTTTATCCAAAGTACATGTATGAAGACATGAATTGGTGTGAATATACTTTGTATACAGCCAGAGATATGAAAAATTGTGCTCTATATGTATGATATGAATTATAATGCATTCTGCTGTCATATGTTAAAAAAAATTAATTTAAAAAAATGTACAAAGGCAGGACTTTTAAGATGTATTTCCAGGTGTAGTTTTGGTAAGTTTAACATAAGATACTAAATGAATAGATAAGGAAGTTTTCTTCACGTTTCCAATCTAATCCATACAAGAAAATAAGTATATTAAGGAATTTAGAATCAACACATTTGAATTTTTATTTTTAATTGAGACAGATTAATTTAGGACAATAAGGTGTACACATTCAAGGGAGAATGCAGACTTTTTTTTTTTCTTCTGGGTAGTGGTAGAAATTGAACCCAAGGCTTCACACATGCAAGGCAAGTGCTCTATCACTGAGCTATATTCTAGCCCAATCTTTACAAATTAATAGCCTAATAACTTGTTACTTTGGCCAAGTTACCTGGCTTCTGAGCTACTTTGTGCTTTCCCATGAACAAGTGGGGGTAATACCTACATTAGAGAATTATTTTGAAGATAAAACGAAGTAAAAGTATCTGAGTGTGGTGATGCAAACCTGTAATCCCATTACACAGCCTGGGTAACTTGGTAAGACCCTATCTTAAAAAGAATATCAAGGGTTGGGATATAGCTCATTGGTAGAGTGTCCTGGGTTCAATTCCCAGTAAGAATGAGAAGGGAAAACGTGTATGTGTATGTGTGAGTGATGTGTGTGTCCTATTAGATTATTAACTAGAAAACTATCTGTGTGTGTGTGTGTGTGTGTGTGTGTGTGTGTGTGAGAGAGAGAGAGAGAGAGAGAGAGAGAGAGAGAGAGATATGTGTGTCCTATTAGATTATTAACTAGAAAACTATCCCAGAGCTGGGTGCAGTGACGCATGCCTGTAATCCCAGCAGCTTGGGGGAGGCTAAGGAAGAGGATCGTGAGTTCAAATCCAGCCTCAGCAAAAAGCAAGGCTCTAAGAAACTCAGCAAGAACCCTGTCTTTAAATAACAAAATAGGACTAGAGATGTGGCTCAGTGGTTGAGTGCCCGAGTTCAATCCCCAGTACCAAAAAGAAAGAAAGAAAGAAAACTGTCCCTGAAGTTCAGCTGCTGTTGTTACTTCCACTGATTTGTATTTATTAGATTAATCCCTTTTTACCTATTCAGTTAGTGCTTTTTGTAGTTGTTCCCTTGCCCTTTTCTAGATTATCAGTATCTGCCTGTTTACTGAATCATCCATTGGTATAAAACAATGTTTTTAATACTGAAATCTCTCCCCTATTCAGGGGAAAACCAAAAAACTATCTCTTGGCCTTTCATACTGATATAGCCTACATCAAGATAACTGTTTCTGTTTATAATAAAATTCTGGAAGGGCTTGTCTATATCTGTGCCCTAAGGCACAGTGCAGTTTTATCTAGAATACATCATAGATAAATAGCATACTACTATTATTTATTTATTTTTTTGGTACCAAGGATTGAACCCAGGGGTACTTAACCCTATTATTTATTTTGAGAGAGGGTTTCACTAATTTCTTAGGACCTTGCTAAATTGTTGAGACTGGCCTTGAACTTGTGATCCTCTTGCCTCAATCTCCCATATCGCTGGGATTACAGGTGTGCACTACTGTGTCTGGCTCCTCTCATTCTTTTCAGCCATAATTCTGCTGAAACTTCTCTTGGAAATCACCAGAGATGTTCATATAAAGTTTTACTTGACCGAATATCAAAATTTAATTCTGCTCCTTTGATAATCCTTCTACATTTGGCTTTCAGGATATCTTACTTTTTTTTTTTTTTTCCTATTTCACTGGCTATAACAAATCCATTTGCTGATTGCCCCCCCCCCCCCAACCCACCCACACCCACCTTGCGTAGCATGTGTGAGGCACTGGGTTTGATTCTCAGCACCATATAAAAATTAATAAATAAAAGTATTGTGTCCTGGGCTGGGGTTGTGGCTCAGTGGTAGAGCGCTTGCCTGGCATGTGTGAGGCACTGGGTTCAATCCCCAGCACCACATAAACAAATTAAATTAACAAAATAAAGGTATTGTGTCCATGTACAACTAAAAAAAAAAAAATTTAAAAAGTATTGTGTCCATCTACAACTGAAAATTAAAATAATCATAATTTATTGAATTAAATTTGTATATTACTTTGTTAAGAAAGCAGGAGCTGGATACAGTGGTGCACACCTGTAATCCAGTGAATCGGGAGACAAGATCATGTGTTCTACCCCATCCTGGGCAACTTCAAGAGACCCTGTCTCAAAATGAAAAATGATAAGGCCTGAGAATGTAGCTTAGTTTTAGAGTGTCCCTGGATTCAATCCCCAGTGCTAAAAACTAAACAGACAGACAAAAAACAACACAGAGACACACAAAAGAAAGCAAGAATTCTTTTAAAAATTGATTTTAGGATATATTTATGAATGATGGGTTCTTGACCTTGAGAAAAAAAACCAGCACTGGGCTGGGGTTGTGGCTCAGTGATAGAGTGCTTGCCTAGCATGTGAGAGGCACTGGGTTCAATTCTCAGCATTACATATAAATAAATAAAAATAAAGTTCATTGATAACTAAAAAAATTTTTTTTTTAAAAAAACCTCAGCATTTCCCCATTTTCCTCCTACCTTTTCTAGCTAAAATACATAATAATTTTCTTAGTTGAATAAGTCATTTTAGTTTGGCATATTTTTGCTTAATGTAATATGCAATACTTGGTTACTTGAAAAATACGAACACATAATTAAATTTTTAATGACTTGATAATTTATATTGGACATGCAAGCAGTTTATAATACTGAATATAACCAATGTTATCTTATAGAAGAGGAAAGAATTTCTGGCCAGGATAATTATAGAAGGCTTTTTGGAGGAGGGGGATTTCAGACACAGTCTTTTTGAGGTTGGATTTTGTTAGAAGTTTATAGGGGAGACTTAATGGATAGCATGAGTAAAGATTACAGGGAAATGTTGAATGTTAGTGAAGCATTGGTGATTGTAGGGTTCAGGGCATTGTGGGAGGATATATTGTAGAAAATAAGAAAATATTGGTAGGTTTACATGGATTTTCTCCACTGAAGGAAAAAAAAAGTTTTCTATAGAAAACTTTGAAGCAAAGGGAATGGTGTACCCAGATCTCTATTTTTAAGAAGGCGGCTATTGTAGTAAACTTATAGAAAATAGATGTAAGGAAGATCGGAGGCTGGGGTGGGGGTGGGGGACAGCTAGTAGGTTTTTTGCGCTAGATTTGGTGAGAACGTATAATGGTTTGAAATACCAGCACAAGAGAAGGAAGGAGAATAAAAGCAATTACAAAGGTGAAAACAATAAAGATTTAGCTAAACTGGACACGTTGGCACATGCTGTAATCCCAGCAACTTGGGAGGCTGAGACAGGAAGATCACAAGTTAAAGGCCACCCTCAGCAATTTAGTGAGACCCTGTTTCAAAAAATATAAAGAGCTGGGGATGTACCTAAGTGGTCAAGTGCCCCTGGGTTTAATTCCCAGTACCAAAAAAAGGGGGGGGGGATTTTTAGCTATAAACTTGGGTAAGGAACCCAATAAGAGATTGTAAAAGTGGTCATTTTTATGTAACTGGGATACAATACCAACATGAATAAAAAAGTTGAGTCTTAAACTTTGGTTGGTGATGGGACTTCTTTGGTTATGAGTGAATGGAATTGCCAGAGCAGTGACTTAAGAGAGGAAAAGTAGGTTGAGGAAACCCCAGTAATCTCTGTATTCTTTTTTTTTTAGTTGTAGATGG